TTGTTAGTTAGTTAGTTATTTAGTTGGAAGGAACAATATCTCCACATTTTCCCTATATCGATCTGTTAACAGTAAAAGAGCGTTTATAAACTAATCTAAAAATACTCTCCGTCTCTTGTTTATTTATTGTAAACAGAGCTAAACGTAAATTAAACTTGTACTCTTCAACAAAACATAAGCTTTACTTTATCATATGCTCCAAAACGATCGAAAACTTTAAGCTTTCACTTTGAAATCCAAAAACCCCAACAAAACAAAGCAAACTTACATGTTACGCATCTCACACCAAAAAAGATCAGTTGTGTGCGGCGACTCTCCAGCGATAGACGTGTTTCTTCCACGGGAAGAGTAAACAAAATAAGTAAAAGCGGAAAACGGGAAAAATTTTGTGGTGTAGCGGTAAAGTGAAAATATATTTAGGTCTTTTCTTAAATACTATTTCTAATACTCACTCGCACGATCACTTGTACTCAACATGAATTTTTAAACAAGACATATTTAGATAACAAAGAGATACTTGAAGTAAAAGAACTTATTTTAGTTTTTTTGTTTAATTAAATGCAGCAAAAATAAACAAATTTTTAAAAAATAGAAATTATTTGTATTTAACAAATAAATTAATTTAAATAAAAAAAAACACAAAGAGAAAAATTTCAACAACAACTACTATACAATAGCAGTCGACAGCTTACGTCCACGACCTTATTAATAAAAAATTATTTAAATATTAAAGCAGATAAAAATTAAACAAAAAAGAAAGAAAAAGTGAATCTTTTGGGAATAAACAACAACAACATAAAAAAATACAAGTAAATAATTAAAAAAAATATATTTAAATTGTGTTTAAGAGAGCAAAGCATAAAGCTGGGATTAAAAAAAAAGAAAATATTATAAAATAAATAAAAAAAGAAATCAAATTAAATTATAATAAACAAAAAAGTTGTTTGCGGGAAACAAACAACATTCAAAAGAAGCTGTTTATCTACATAGATCTGTTGTAAGAAAAAATAAATAAATATTATTTATTTATTTGGTTTTTTTATATTTTTTGTTAAAATAATAGAGCAACGTGAGGTAATTAAAAGTGCAACAACAAGAAATCAACAAAGTTAACGTAGCCAGCTATTTAGTCCAAACGTCATTCTACATTTTGATGCTGTAAAATCTAGTTGAAGGTAAATTTATTTAAGACAACTATGCACATAAATACTTTTTAAATGTATAAATATAATTAAGAATAAAATCGTTAAAGAGGTCAAGACCAATTTAGTGATACTCTACACCAATAAATTACGGTCATTAAACAAGTCGAAAAATATGAATTCTGCTCAATGAAAGTGTTAATTTTTAACTCGATACCGATATTTATAATTTAAAGCGATTTTTACTTATCTGGGTGTTATGACTAATTACGGCCCTATAGTGATGAAATTATGTGGCTTGATTTTGTGTTGAATATTAATGACAACTTTTATGAAGATATTTTATTAAGTTTAAATTACTTTCGTATAGAAGCTATATGGGCCTCTTGCAACATGATTCTGTAATACCAAGTTACATGTATTAAACCTCAATTGAATACCCTCACCACTAAGTGAAATAGGGTGATATGATAGTTCAGTAGGAAGTTGGCTGGCATGGAAATCTTACAATAGTACCAACTTCGATCAAACAGAGTATTTTTTAGATTTAGAAGTACTAAATAACTGTAGAATAAAATAGATTTTAGACCATAGAATAGAATAAATACTAGTCTAGAAAAGATTATAGACTAGACTATAGACTAGACTATAGACTAGACTATAGACTAGACTATAGACTAGACTATAGACTAGACTATAGACTAGACTATAGACTAGACTATAGACTAGACTGTAGACTAGACTATAGACTAGACTATAGACTATAGACTATAGACTAGACTAGACTATAGACTATAGACAAGACTAGACTAGACTAGACTAGACTAGACTATAGACTAGACTAGACTAGACTAGACTAGACTAGACTAGACTAGACTAGACTAGACTAGACTAGACTAGACTAGACTAGACTAGACTAGACTAGACTAGACTATAGACTAGACTAGACTAGACTAGACTAGACTAGACTAGACTAGACTAGACTATAGACTAGACTAGACTATACTAGACTAGACTAGACTAGACTAGACTAGACTAGACTAGACTAGACTAGACTATAGACTAGACTAGACTAGACTAGACTAGACTAGACTAGACTAGACTAGACTAGACTAGACTAGACTATAGACTAGACTATAGACTAGACTATAGACTAGACTATAGACTAGACTATAGACTAGACTATAGACTAGACTATAGACTAGACTATAGACTAGACTATAGACTAGACCTATAGACTAGACCATAGACTAGACCATAGACTAGACTATAGACTAGACTATAGACTAGACTATAGACGAGACTATAGACTAGACTATAGACTAGACTATAGACTAGACTATAGACTAGACTATAGACTAGACTATAGACTAGACTATAGACTAGACTATAGACTAGACTATAGACTAGACTATAGACTAGACTATAAAATAGACTAGACTATAGACTAGACTATAGACTAGACTATAGACTAGACTATAGACTAGACTATAGACTAGACTATAGACTAGACTATAGACTAGACTATAGACTAGGACTATAGACTAGACTATAGACTAGACTATAGACTAGACTATAGACTAGACTATAGACTAGACTAATAGACTAGACTATAGACTAGACTATAGGACTAGACTATAGACTAGACTATAGACTAGACTATAGACTAGACTATAGACTAGACTATAGACTAGACTATAGACTAGACTATAGACTAGACTATAGACTAGACTATAGACTAGACTATAGACTAGACTATAGACTAGACTATAGACTAGACTATAGACTAGACTATAGAATAGACTATAGACTAGACTATAGACTAGACTATAGACTAGACTATAGACTAGGCTATAGGACTAGACTATAGACTAGACTATAGACTAGACTATAGGACTAGACTATAGACTAGACTATAGACTAGACTATAGACTAGACTATAGACTAGACTATAGACTAGACTATAGACTAGACTATAGACTAGACTATAGACTAGACTATAGACTAGACTATAGACTAGACTATAGACTAGACTATAGACTAGACTATAGACTAGACTATAGACTAGACTATAGACTAGACTATAGACTAGACTATAGACTAGACTATAGACTAGACATAGACTAGACTATAGACTAGACTATAGACTAGACTATAGACTAGACTATAGACTAGACTATAGACTAGACTATAGACTAGACTATAGACTAGACAATAGACTAGACTATAGACTAGACAATAGACTAGACTATAGACTAGACAAATATAAAACCAATTAAATATTGAGAAAAAGACACAATGAAAATTTAAATTAATATTAAGAAAAAGCTAATTGTAAATGAGAAATCATAGTTAAAGATAAAACACATGGAAATAAAGACAACAAAGAAAGTATAGTCGGATCTAGCCGATCATATAATACCCTATACTAGTTATGAGTATAATTAAAATGTGACTTTTTTCTAATAATAAATATTGAAGGGTAAATTTTACCCTAATTTTGACTACATATATGGGAGCTGGGGTAAAATTTCTGAGAGAAATTTTGTATGGATCAAATGAGGCCCAGAAAACTGCAATAACATTTAATGATATATAAAACTTCTTTACAATATTTAACATAATTATGAGCTGCAACCAAAATTTTGTAGTGTAGGATCGTGATAACGGAATAATCTGCTAGTGAGCTCTGCACTATATGGACCACTCGACAATAACCGATAATGAAAGAGAGAATTTACTTGCTATTTTTTGCTCTTATATTGCAAGTGTCTGGAACGAATTCCCACTGCAGTGCATTTTGTAACCCACTGGCGAGTCAACCATATAGATATGTATGGGTTTCTTTTTGATGTTATACCATAAACCATAGACTACATAGATATGTATGGGGTTGTTCTTTATGTAATATGTGTATTACTGATAAAAATGCGGGTTTCGGGAACAAATTTCCTAATTTCAGAAGAGCATAATCTATTGTGTTAGCGACAGTAATTTAATAAATCAAACTATCATCGAAAAGTATCTTCACCCTACATATCTCTTCAAAATAGACTTTGAAGAACCGGCCTATACATGAGACTTGCATTCCATTTTAGATTGGATATAAGAAATGTAGGTTCACTCTAAATGATCAGATGGAGTGAAGTCTGCCTTACTGAGTTTTAAAAAACCAAGACCGAATGGTTCTTTCGACACTTTGAAATATGTACATACATGTATGTATGTGTTTAGTCCAACGAACATCATCACACTGTATTATTATTATATCAAGAGCTTCTCGATTCCTTAATGTTTACAGCACCTATAAATATATGTAGATTCGTTTCTGCGTTAAAATACATTATTGAATCTTACGAGCATTGAAATCAACTACATTGATATGCCCCTTGAGAGATTGCTACTATATCTATTGAGTCATTCATGTTATACCTAATTACCCCAATCTCCAGGGGGCTTGGTTTACAATTGATTGAATAACATTGTCAAATGTTGTTTTCATCAGCAAAAGAGTAGATAAGGTTGGAAGTTTGATATAGAAGGTAATTTAGATTGATAAGAACGTAGAACCCCTTGTGAAATGAAATCCCAACGATGTCTTTTTTTGGGGTATAGAGTGCTGAAAAGATTAGCTAATGGACGACTTAATGTCAAAGATAAATGCTTAAAGATCAATTGTATAATGCCAGGAGACTTCAATAATACCCTCTTATCCAAATATCTTGACTGTAATGTTAATCCACGTGTTACGAAATACGAATACGAAATGGAACTAGGTCCGGGAAACTAAGTTTCCGAATATTGGACTCCTTTCATAAATCTCTATGTAAGGTTTTTCCGTGAAAAGGGCACATAAGAGGCCTGATAGCAGTTTAGATATAATTTTCGGAACTGTTGTTATACATACTGCTTTCAATCAAAACTAACCATGAATTTTTGGTCCAACATCCGAATTAAATTAATTCCATTTGATAGCTTAACTTTCTTAAGGTGGTACTTTTTAAATTTTCACACTCATGTGATCCTAAATAGGTAGAAAATCCATGAGGGACTTTCTTTATTCTTTTTTTTTTAGGAAATATTAAGCTGTTCTTTATGAAAATTCTATATCCGCCTTTAAATTTTATCTAATAATATTTCTCTGAAAGATACATAGTAGTCATAAACTTTATTTAATAGTTAATTATTTGTTGGCAAAACTTGTTCAATTGTTATTGATTGTCAAATACAAAACTCCGATGACTCAGATGAGAAATATTTGAAAGTAACATAGTTAATAAATCGGGTTCTTAGATAAATATTAAAAGACTTGTAGTTCAGTTACGGAAATTATTTTAATTTCAAATTAAAGTACAATTGATGTCATTACTTATGGCATACGACATTGTTCAAATATATGATGTTGAGGAAGTGCTGTCACGAATGATTACGAGGGACCTAATTTTCATGATTCGAGCACATAGACCGATCAAAATGCCAAACATTTTTAGGTTCGATGTTGATCTCAAGCTTTTTTGTTTAGCGGGTTGGCATTGAGCCCAAAAAAAACAGTCTGGAGAAGTCCGTCCGTCTGTTTTTTCCTCTAGCAAAATTAACTAAACGTCAACTTTTTATAATAAAATTGTATAATTTGCATATAACGATTACTTAATGTTTAAATTATTTTAAAAATAATAAAACTATATATTAATATTTGTATAATACGTAGTTTAATGATTTAAAAAAACTAACAAATAAATAGTTAAACAATTAACTAATACAACATAATTGAAAACTTTTAAGAAAAAACACAAAATGCTTTTTGTCCATTTAAAATTACTACGAATGAGGAATTGTAGTGAAACTTATTAATTTAAAATTTAGTTTTCAACAAAGTATTTCTTTGTTTCTTTTATTTCTTTTAGACATTTGACTATTTGTTTATTTAGTAATTTTTTCTCTCTCTCTTTTAACATTATTACTCGTACGTTATGATTTTGACGTTTTTTATTTGAAACACTAAAAACGCAACTAAGCAACAGTGGGTGAATAAA